CACAGAGTCCTGACCTGAACCCGATAGAACACCTTTGGGATGAATTAGAGCGGAGACTGAGAGCCAGGCCTTCTCGACCAACATCAGTGTGTGACCTCACCAATGCGGTTTTGGAAGAATGGTCAAAAATTCCTATAAACACACTCCTCAACCTTGTGGACAGCCTTCCCAGAAGAGTTGAAGCTGTAATAGCTGCAAAAGGTGGACCGACATCATATTGAACCCTATGGGTTAGGAATGGGATGGCACTTCAGTTCATATGTGAGTCAAGACAGGTGACCGAATACTTTTGGTAATATAGTGTACCAGGATTTGTGTTCAAGCACAGCCAAAGAGATAACTGCTACAATAACAGTTAAAAACAATTAAAACACCAAAGAGGAGGTGGAGTTGGAATGTATTGTTCTGAGAAAACTGAGTGTAATATCTTTATTCCTGAGCTCTGGAACTTAGAATGTTTATACTTTGTAGTTCCACATGTCAATCTGATTGCTGCACTTTTGTACAGGCCTAATTCATACCAAACTTGTTTTGACAGCAGCTCTTAAATGTAATTGAAGAGACAGAGAAGCATCCAGGACAGAAAATATTCATGGGGGACTTTAATGAGGACATGTTTACTTCATCTACAATTGTGAAATAAATGAAACAACATGGATGCAGTCAACATGTATATAATTCAAATACGGAAAAAGGTACATTAATAGATCATGTTTATACAAAATATAAAGGGTGTTACTCTTGCAGTTGTGCAAATATACTATAGTTTTCATGAGGCAATACTTGTTTCACTGGTGTAATAATGCACATAAAGATTCTGCCACCAACTGGGAGGTAGGGATGGCACAAGAAACGAGGCGGCTCCCTAGCGGAGGGTGGGGGTGTAGGAATTGATTGGCACAAGGGCTATTTTTGGGAAAGAGGTGGTTAAAAGCTAACTCTTAATTATAATTATTACTAAACCAATTTATTAAAATATTTTAAATATAGTTTAAATTAAGCATACTTCATAAACTAACAATACTGATTACTGTGTTTGGAACAAATGTGATTCTAAAAATGTTTCTTTACTAATGTATTTTTGAAATTGTTTTCTGTTAATTGCTTCCATCTTAAAAATTTTTAAAACTGTGCCAATCAACCCCACAATCTATAGCCACAGGAATGGATTCTGAGCAGGGGTGCTGTGGGGGGTCAGGGGAGTTAATTTTTTTATGTTATTTTTATTTTATATATTTTGGATCCCTGGAGGACTAGTGGTTAGGCCACAGCACTCTCGCCGCTGTGTCCCGGGTTCAATTCCCAGCCAAGGAACCAGTCCCAGCCACTGGAGTTGAGTGCAACAGTGCGCTCTCAGTGCCAACCCCAAGCCCGGGGAGGGTTGCGTCAGGAAGGGCAACCGGTGTAAAAACTGTGCCAAATCAAATGTGCGGACCAATGATCCACTGTAGCAACCCCTAACGGAGCAGCAAAAAGAGGAACAACAACATCTTTATATATTTTATTTATTTCTTTTTTTTGACAGCACTTCATGGGGGATGCAGCACCACTTCCCTCTATCTTTACGTATTTATTTGTTGTACTAATGGGTTGTGTTAATGTTTACTTATAAGAAATATTTGAGAAAAAATGAATGTCGTGCCATTCAACCCAGGTGTCCTCTGCTTATTGTTTTCCTTTCTTTTTTTCCCCCTTCTGTTTGCTTTACTTGCAATAACAATAAAGATTGGCAGTCACGCTTGCCACAGATTTCTCAGGTACATTTGGGGCATATGTGCCTACATTCAGGCACATGGTAGTTAAACAGTAATGATTATTGTAATGATGTGATTGTAATGACAGTAGTGATGATTTTATGCAAAATGATTTATAAACCATAAGGAAAAATATTGAGGCGTATTATAATTTTGTATAACTTTTGACCAATAGATGTGCTGTCTGGCCAAGCACACAAACTGCATAGAAGTTGATTGGACATACGACTGTGGTGGTGTTTTTAAGCCAGTGGTTTAAAATCCATCAACAGAATTATTCATAATGTTATAAAATATTTTTTTATCTTGTGAGCACTAGGTGGCGCTGTTCCAAAACTGTGCAGGTACACTCAAGTCATGATGGCTAAGACATATACCAAGCTTGGGCTGAATATGCTAAAGAGTTATGGAGCCAGTCTTGCTCATCTTGCTCATCTTGCTCATCGACGAATTCGTTCACTCGTTATTCGAGAACGGTTTGACTAATCAGCTTGAATTTGATCATTTTGTCGACATGGTCTCAAGATGATCTAATTTGTTTTTTGTTAAAATCAGACAAATGGTCTAGGAGAAGTTAGAAAAAGTAGGTTTTCAAAATGGCGAACAGCAAGTTCGGTCAAACATGGCATAATATACATCATTGTTCTCGAAATGAACCAAGGAAACTATCAAAACCAGTCTCATGACAATAGGCAAAAGTAGTCAAAAGCTATTAGCATTTTTTTTAATTACAATCTAATTTTTGACCACAAGGTGGTGCTGTCCTGAAACATTTTGTGTAGACTTCAGGACATGGTGCCAATGACACATACTGACTTTCGTAATGACATGCCAAGACATTCATGAAATACAGCATTTTACGTCTAAATCCAAAATGGACACCCTAGGACACCCTACATCATTGTTCTCGGCATGAACCAAGGAAACTATCAAAACCAGTCTCATGACAATAGGCAAAAGTAATCAAAAGTTATTAGCATTTTAATAAGTTTGTTATAATTTCTAAAAACAAGGTGATGCTGTCCTGAAACTTTTTAAGTGCCTTCAAGGAATGGTGCTGATGGCACATATCGAATTTCATAATGACACGCCAAGTCATTCGTAAAATACAGAAATTTATGTCTAAATTCAAAATGGCTGACACCCAAAATGGCTGATCTAGGAAAGTTTCAGAAGTTACAAGCAAAAATATGTTTTTTTCATATCTCGTGAACACTAGGTACGCTGTTCTGAACCTGTGCAGGTACCCTCAAGTCATGATGGCTAAGACATATATTTATATACACATACTTATAAGTTTGGTCTAAATATGCTAAAGCATTACGGAGAGAAATGCCTCGTGTCCATTTCGGCATGCTCACCATCAAATTTGTTTCCACATTATTTGAGAACAGTTTGGTCTATCAAAAAGCTTTTAATAAGATTTTGCCAGAAAGGTCTAACAATGATCCGAGTCAAATTTGGTAAAGAGCTGATGAACCATCTAGGAGGAGTTCAAAAAAGTAGGTTTTTCCAGAAAATTCAAAATGGTGGAAAATCTAGTCAGGAGTCTGTACGACCAAGGAATCAGAGGAAAAAATAATTTTGTTTCTAGCCCTTACGGTTCAAAAGTTATTAGCATAAATATAAGTTCAACTTTGAGCTGTTGGTGGTGCTAGAGGGTTTGTGATAGCGACTCCAAATTTGCTATGGTAACATTTCAGAATATCTCCTATCTGTGTGCCAAATTTCATAACTTTCCTATGTATGGTTCTGCCATAGACTTCAAGACCGGAGGAAGAAGAAGAAGAAAAAGAAGAAGATGAACGATGACAATAGGTGCCTATGCACCTTCGGTACTTGGCCCCTAATAATAATAATAAGAAGAAGAACACAAACAAATACAATAGGTGCCTATGCACCTTCGGTGCTTGACCTCTAATAATTAGAGTTGCAAGCAGCATTTTTGGGGGCCAAGCACCCAGGCTCAGTGAGCCACACATTCACGGACACGCTACAATTATTGCCTAAGCAATCACAGAAAAGCAGAGCCATAACTTTAGGCAAAGGGATTCAAGAGCAATTTGTAGTTTCACTCACGTGTGTGTTTTTGACAGTGGTGGAATTCTCTGACTATAGAAGGAAAGGTCTAGATCACAGATCAGTTTTTCTTTAAAGAGCCAGGGAAAACTTAACATTTTTTTTATAATGTAATGTAACAAAATGGCCTGCTTTTCTTATTCACACAAAAGAGCAACAAATCCTTTTTTTTCCCATTATGCTGAGAGCTCCATCTGTACATATAGAAACAAGATTATCCAGCTGCAGCTTCTTTTCTGTGGCAGAGTACATAAATGTTGAGCCTTTCATGGGCAAAACAGCAAGACTCTCTTCACGCGATGGTACACTTGTTATATACCATCTGACAACACTGAGCTGTGCTATATTGCTAATGTTGATAAGACTCATCCAAGGCAATAGAAAAGTAGCTACCTGCATTGATGTCCCTAATTTGTGTCTCCTTTAATTGGTTTGCCATCATGATGGCATGATCATGAAATGTTCTTGCTGACAGGCGCATATCTTGTATTTTCTGGTTATTTTTTCTTTGTTTCGAAAGTCAGTAAACAGTTCTTTTGCCAGGTTCAGCATAAATCCTTTCAAGTACTCTCCATCTGTAAATGGTTTTCTGTTCTTCACAATCACCAAAGCATCTGCAAAGCTAGCACATTTGAGCCAATCGTTTTGGTTGCTACTGGCTGGTCTGCACTCTCCACTGGAGATGCACATGCTTTTTGCTTTCTGCTGTCACCTGATGGATATTTCAAGGCAAATGCAGCATGGTGAGTTTTAAAGTGCCTCTTCACATTAGATTTTTTTAAGCAACACAATTCGCTCCTTGCAAATGAGACAAACTCGCTCCACAAATGCAAATTCGTCTGTCCATTCGGACTGCAAAAAATTATACTCATCATCTTTTTTTTCTTTTAGCCATTTCACCTTTGTTAAAAAATTGAAAGAAAAAAGAAAAAAAAATTTGTAAAAAAACTATGTAGTTTTCAGCCAATTTATAATTTAGACCAGGAAATTACCGCTCCATTCCAAATTACCACTGAACTCCACATTGCCCAATGAAATTTGAGCTTCTTGTGGCACATCACGATTGGCTGGTGTATACATGACAAACGGGCATCTATTATGAATTATGTAATATTTTAAAATATGTAATATGTAGATTTTTAATTGAATCAACACCCTAGCTTTCGTGATTGTTTTTATTTCTTTTTTCCCCACCGTTGAGCCATAGGTAATCACTGAAAGAGCCATATATGGCTCGCAAGCCCTCCGACCCCTCGTCTAGATGAACAGATGGGCAGCAAGGTGGCATTGCTGCTGCAGCTGCCACTACTGCTGTGACCTGTGGTGCTGTCTGTTGCTACTTTGACCTGTGGTCGTGACTGCTACTGCTCTGACCAAAAAAAAAATTTCTAAATTTTAACAAAAAACAGCTATTTTAAATTAATTTTTAAGTCAGTTGGACCAGCAGTTTGGTTTGATCTATCAACACAAAATCCATAACTTATTGTTGGCATGGACTGAAGATGATCTGATTGGAAAAAAATATATATTTTTTCATATCTCATGAACACTAGGTGACACTGTTCCAAAACTGTGCAGCTACTCTCAAGTCATGATGGCCATGACATATACTAAGTTTGGACTGAATACACTACAGGGTTACTGAGATACTAGCCTCACGTCCACTTCTATGTGCTTATCATCAAATTCGTTTGCACTTAATTCAAGAACGGTTTGACTAATCAATTTGAAAACCATAAATCTTTGTTAGCATGGTCTGAAGATGATCCAGTTTGATTTTCATGAAAATCGGACCAACAGTCTAGGATGAATTTGAAAAAGTAAGTTTTCAAAGCATTTCAGAATGGCGAACAGCAAGTTCAGCCAACCATGGCATAAATGGTATCATTATTCTCGGCATGACCCAAAGAATCTATCATCCTACAAGTAATCTGAATCACCTACTTTCCCTTGTCAACCTCTGATTGGATCTCTCTATATAACACTGACCGATAACAAGCTTGAGCTTAAAGCTGCCATGGCAGTTGGAATGCTGGTTGACTTCTGCAAGCATCCCTCTGCCTGCCAACCCCTGACAATTAACAGCTCAGCTGTGTCCAAGGTTGAGTCTTTCAGATTCTTACAGACCACCATTACCAACTCACTGAAATGGGCCAACAACATACCCACCATCCTCAAGAAAGCACAGCAAAGACTGTTCTCAGGAAGCTCATATACTTCAACCAGTCCTGAAAAGATTTTAGTGAGTCATTATAGAAAGTGTGCTCACTACCTCCATCACAGTCTGGTTCCTCTCTGAATCTTCCATCTGTAAAACTAGACTGTAGATAGTGGTCAGCAGCTGTGAACTCACCAAGACCAAGGACCTATACATCATCAGACAAAGAGAAATCCCTATACTTTCACCTAGAAACTCCATTCATGCTTTAAATTGTTTGAGCTACTTTCCCTTTCAAAAACCTCTAAATATCTAATTGCTTC